ACTGGTTAATGGAGCAATAGCGAAACTTTTATTGCAAAATAATTTTTTCCATTATTCATAATTTCATTCTAGTAAAAGGAAAGAAATTTTAATTTGATTTTTAAATGAATTATTAATTCATAATTGAAGAATTACACATATAATGTATAAACTTTACCAGTAAACTTTAAATTCTTTCTTAAAATCTCTCTCTAACAATAAATATTTCATACAATATAACTTGTGAGATAGAATATATATAATATTATATTACGAGTATAATGTAGATGTAATTATAGTGCTCGCTTTATATATATATTTTATAATATATATAACAATATAATAATCCAATATTCATATATAATTCTACAATAAAAAAGCTAGATACTTTTGAATTTATTGTAACAACAACAATTCTTTCTTTCGTATTACAGATAATAACACAAATAAATTTAATTTGAATTTTTATGAAATCGATTTTGTTGCGATTTGTTCGATTTTGTCGAAAGATTTTTCCTTTTAGACTAAAAATTAGTCTAATTGACATAATTTTCAACTAGATCATTCATTTGTACCTGCTGACTTGCCTTTAAAATTACCGCATTATAATGACGGCTCGATCAAATTAATGTTTAATTCATGTCGCTTAGTTGGAATTCACGTAAGCTCGTGTTACGCATCCAATTGCCGATACATCGGTTTTGTTAATCGGCAGAATTAGTCGACGGTACTCCTTTGTATGCAAGTTCGAACGGTCCAATTATTTCCACGTAACGTCGCACTCCTGATACGCATATCCCGCGCATTGCATATCCCGTTATTGCTGATTGAATCGATCGGTTTTAATTTCGCGGTTACTGCGCCAGTACCGTAAATCAGGCCAATTGCGATGCACGTTGTCGGCAATGCCATGGCACCTTGACCCACGTTAAATCACATGGCTGCTGATTTGACCGTTGCATTTCTTTTTTTTACCGTAAAAGTCGTGAGCGTTATTTTATCAAAATTATTACTACTTCCATCGTATCTCAATTGCCATTGTTATATTAGAAAAAAATAATCATTCTTAGCGATTTTTGCTTTCATTCATACGAAATATATTTTACTAATTCATTGCGCGTTTTGATCACGATACATTAACGGTTACTAAAAATCAGCTTAAAAAAAGATTAATTTTTTTATTACCGAGTAATCATATTGTTTGGAACACATATTCGTTTGTGCAAAATGTAATCCTGTTAAACTCATTGCACAATTACGTCGCAAATATCCGCAACGGTAAACATTAGCTCGATCCGCGCGATCGCGAGGAATTAAACCAGTTCGGCGGCTGGTGTTTGGCGCCGAACTCGTCGATGATTTCCGCGCGTGTATACGCCGGATTGGCTTACTATTTGCGGCGAATCGGCCGATGCATCGCGCCATTGTCGCCGTTAATTGAAACGATCGTTTGCAGATCCGTGGTCGATTCCTGGTTGGAAGCTTCGGCCCACCTCGGCTCTCCCTCTCCCTCTCTCTCCCCCCACTCTTGCTCCATAGGTCACACGTGCGTGTCATGATACGCAGGTGCACGCGATCAGCATTCTGCATTTTTATCACTGCACTTCGGAGATCAATGATCTCGATGAAGCGGGCACAGCTCGGCACGCTCATCTCCGCTCTCTCGCGGTCGCCGGGCAAAAAAGCATTGAAAAAGCGTTGAACGAGCTACAAGTTGTGTAACAAACACGAACAGAGTGTTTATGGTAACGCTTGAAGAAAAACAGATTCCATATGAACTTTGATACCCTTCGGCTTTTTACTTATGGATCAGCTCCATCTACATTTCAATCCAAAACTGACTTTGACCGTCCGTTGTAATAATAAATTATTAGTGCGCCAGTTTTTACCGAATCTTCCATATTTCCAATTATAGTTTCAATAAATTCATTGTTAAAATATATTTCAACAATTCTGAAATTTACTAGTCGCCTGGCAGAAACTACTGCGCAATCCGCGCAAACAATGCACCAATATTTCCCGTTTTTTACCAATTTATTGAAACGTCCGAATATAGCGTTTCTCCCCGATATTTTCAATCGAATAAATTTAACTGCAAAAAATTCACGGCGTGCGTATTTAGCTACACCTGCGATCTCGAGGATGGCGCGCGCTCGTTGCAGCCTCTACAGTAATCTCGCCCTTAACTCGCGCTGTGCTCGGCGCGAAGCGCTTACTCCGCAAGTACAAATTGACTTTTTTTTTTCTCCTTCCCCCTGCGGAACGTGCCTGATTGCTGAAAATGCAAAATAAACGGTAGCGCGGCTATCCCGCCGACCTCAATCCGGACCCATCCTTTTTTCAAGACACGCGCACGGTAAAACGAGAAATTCTCTTTGTTCGCGGATTCATTCCGCCGGAAACTTAATTTTCTCGCGTTTCCTCTCGAAGCTCCGTTGCTCCGCCTCGTGTCCGTCGTTATGCCCGAAGAAACAAAGCGTTATCGCCGATAAAGAGGTCAATAGTATTTTTATCGGGGAATCGGCGATAATGTCTTCGTTGAATGGCGGTCCATTAAGCTTGCCCTGTCTGATTCTTGAAAATGCAATAGCGAGCAGCGACCATCGCGCCGGCGTGAGGATAAATTAATCGTGACGTTGATCGTTATTTATGAGTATTTCTGCTTGGGAAAACGAGGCAGACGGCTTACTCGATGGATATGTTTCCGCGCTATGAATATAAGCATTACTCTGTTGACGGTTAAAACGAGTTGGACGTCGTAATATTGTTGATACTTCTCTTTTTAATTTTTTTTTTTAATACATGCGTTCTTAATATTTTGCTCACGAAAATTCTTCATGAAAATTTACGAGATTTACGAGAGAATGAACTGAGAGAAATGATTTTGTTATAGGAATAAATCAAGGGAAAACAAATGTGATATTTGTTTAAAAAACGATTGATTTGTTACGATTGCAAATTAATTCGTCAATGTAACAAATAATCAATAGTATCACTAGCAAATAAGAGGCTCATATATATATATATATATACATAAAAGTCGTAGACAGCAGGGTCTCAAATCGTAAGAAATTGACCATTTCTAGTTAAGTATTCTCCCTATATTTGACTATGCTTGATCGGTTTTCTACGACTTAAGACTCAACGATCATCTACGATTTCTACGTAAACGAGCCTAAAGTCTATCCAAAAGATAGGTTAGATTCTATATAATTTGCTTCTGTTATTAATAATTGATTGGTATGGCAGACTCTCACAATATAGCAGCAATCACAATAACAAAATTTATTGTCACATATTCACCGATCATCGGTTAAAGGTACTGGTAGCTTGTTAAATTAACAAAATCTTTTCTCTCAGTGTGGAAACGAGATTTTCGATTATTCTGAATATTTTATCTGATATGCTCTTGATACGAGTAATTCGAGTAACGATCGTAATATTTTATAATAATTACTCTATATATTTTTTATTGATTGTTTCCGATCCATTGTGTATAATTATTTATTAAAAAAATTAATATCTTCTAAGATATCTGTAAAGATATATGATTAAACTGCCCGTCCATTTATAATACTGCTCTAGTTTAATCACTGCTCTAGTTTTGTTAGAATTGCATTTGAAGACCGAAAGTTAAATTTAATGAGTAGTTTACAGTATTGGATACGTATAAATTTATACGAAATTACTCAAGCATTAAATATTCGGCTTGTCCGTTTAGAATCTTTATTTCCAATTTATTGTGTATTCACTTTACTTAAAAAAGATGCGTTTAATAGTGTTATTAAAGCTATTGTATCTAATCAAAATAATATCATATATGTATTTATATATGTAAATGTAAATATATACATCGAAAAGAATGATTTTATCGAAAGAGCTTAAAATTATGCTGGACAAAGATCTAAAAATAATTTTGCTGGATCATCAAAGTAATTTTATTAAAAATTTAAACTGCTAGAATATCAAAATTTTTTTGCAGCGTTGCTCATTATTTTTTAGTTTCCAATATTATTTTGATGGTTTCCAATAAAATTATTTTCAGATTTGTATCCAGCAATTTGAGATATTTCAACAAAATTGTTTTTCCTATGTATATAACCAAATTTAGACACAGCAGAAAATGGTTTTTTTAAACGAGATAGAATTTGAAATATAGTACCTTTTACAAGACTAATTTAAGCAGTTCTATTTTCTGTCTGGCGCGATACATGGTATTTTTGCGTGAAAAAAAGAACGAAGTGAACCGCAAAGAGGTTGGAACAGTGTCAAGCAGAGCGCAAGCGTAAATGGCTGCTACATTACCTGTGCTTAAGGACGATAAAATACGATGCGTACGACTATCGTACGAGTTATGTGAGAAAGCAAGGGCTGTGCAAGATGCGCAAATACACAGCATGCACCAGTGATCATTTGCGGTTTAAACACAGTTGATATCTCCGAAACCGTCCGTTGCGTAAGTAATGGGCAACAACAATGACGCGAAGCACATAACTATTGCAATATCGAAGAAAAATATCCACATGTTCAATATTGCGCTCATTTGAAAGTTCAACGATTTTGTTGTCTTTGAAAATGCAACCAACTGTACCGTGTACATTGTTTCTCTACATTTAGCATTTTATTGTATTACCGTGCTATTTCTCGAAAATGTTTAATGACAAAATTATATTTTACAGTAGAGATTTATTAAACTTTTTATTTTATTTATATATATAAAATGCAAAAGCTTTAAACGAGCAGTATGTCTTTTTATGAAACGGTAAATCATGTTTAATAATTTCAGTTTGTATTATTGTTAATGATCCAGCGAACGTCATCTGTAATCGTTTAATTTTGTATGAAATTCCGTATTTGGCGAAACCCAGAGAGTATCTTGCCTCGTAATATGCGGAATACATTATGTGAATAAACATTATTCCTCGTTCTCTTATCCATTAAGAGGATTACATCTCTAAGTAGCATAAATTACCTTCGTAAATAAGACAGTATGCTTCAGGTATGCGTCGCTCCTGTTTCAGATGTTTTGAGCAGCACACCGCACGGAAAGATGAAGACTGCGGTCGGTACATTCCTTCTTTTGCTCGTCATCAACGGCGTCGTCTCCGTCGAATGGAAGCACAGTGCTGTCCTGGACAACAATTTCTTGGTGCTCTGGACGCCCGATGAGAAGGACGTTACATTCGAGATCCAAGTGAAGACCCTCGGCTACGTCGGGCTCGGTTTCACGAAGGACGATGGCCGCGCCGGAGCTGACATGGTCATCGGATGGGTCGATAACAACGGTCAGGTTCACCTTCAGGTGAGTGTCTTTTTATACTGTATCAGGTAATATCTGATTTCTTGCGGTCACCAGCACATCTCTTTTGGTCATCTCGCGTGGCTGTACTAAAGAATAGATGCGCACTCTCGCGCGTCGCGATTCGAAAAAAACGACGATCCAATCTACATCAAGTGTGTCTAAAAACATAGCGATCCAGTATAGCATCTCTGATGAGAAATCGTATGAAAAAAAAAACGATCATTCCGCAGCTTTTGAAGTTTTAACATGGAATATATATTAGTTTAATAAAATAACGGAAATTAAATTTCTGTTGAAATAAAGAATTATTTGAAATACGTAAAAAAAAATATATGATTTTATTCATAAATTTACACTTTTAAAAATTAATCCGTTAAAAGACTTCAGTTTTCGTTATTAAAAATAATTTTTTTTAACAAGCCCGTCGATGCGAAATTTATCATTTATTACACAATTTATCACTTTAATAGAAATTACCTACATTCCTATATACCGCCGTTCCTATGCTGTTGATTTCTGTTTCGGACACAGAGAGCTACAAATGGAAATTGTTACCGCATAGAGCATTCACATTAAAGCTCACTGATATTTAAATCAACCATGCCAACGTCCTATTTGTGTGCCGCAAAGTGCCTGGAGGGGGGAGAGGGGGGAGAGGAGGGCGAGAGTAATCGAGAATAATTATTTCCGTGCTACTGATCGAGTGGAGTTCTCTCTTTGAATATTGTAAAGTCCGCCCTGGCACGCCAACATCGACGATGGAACGCGCTTAATGGTAGTCATTCGGGAGATAAGTAATGGCTCTCCCGTTTCGATCGGCGCATCGGATAGTTATCAATCATGCCCACTAAAGCCGGCAGCCTGTCATTACGCGTTCTTCTCATTTTGCACGACACTCGGTACATCGAGAACTCGCCCGCGGAGGCGATTGCCTTACGTAATTTTTCCGCGAAAATGCGGTTCTCGCATAACATTGATGCCGTTCATCTTCAACGGGATGAAGAGCATCCGCGCGACTATTACATAAATGTGGTCGCCGTTCGCGTTAGTTGATCAAACTCTTACAGATATTTGATACAGTCTCTCTCTCTCTCTCTCTCTCTCTCCCCTTCTCTTCTCTCTCTTTCTTTCAAAAATGAATGATATGTGAATTTCAAACAGAATATTCAATCTGTAACCATTATATAGAATGACACGAAAAAATGGTAGCTTTTTGATGAATGAGAATATGCAATGTTACAAAAAAGGAAGTTAAATTATAATATTTTTTAATTGTCTTACAACGATCTCGCTCGAATCGATGTATTATAGATAACGCGATCCATCATCTTCGCTGAGCTCAATGAAAGAAATTCCTGACGATCACGTAGCTCCGACTTTGCTATTTAATTCCGCGATAGCGAGGCCGAGGTCCGCAAAACTTCCCCCGGATATATCATGAGCTGTCCGCACTGCGGTTAGTTCCGACGCCGCCGTAATAGTTCGGAGTTAATACCGTGTGCATGTGCGACGTGAGTGCCGGCGGTGATGGTTCTTTGAATAACAAGGCGTCATTCAAAGGGACGCCGACGCGCGTTCGTGGCATGGCAAAGAGAGAAAAGCTTCTCCGGGGAGGGCCAGGGCATAATCTAGTTCGCGCGATTTCCACATGAACGGCCACGAGAATTCCGTGCCAAGCCGCACGGTGCGTTATTTTCGGTGCGTTTTTCTTTTTGTAAATTTAAAACGTCGTTAGTCGCGCATTTGGGAACACTCGGGTCCCTTCTTCATAGACCGGACGCGACGGGGATTACACGCTATCCACCCTTTCATCAGCGTTACGCAGCCGTTGACAGTTTCTGGCCCGGTTCTTTTACTACATGGCCGAGGGGATAGAGGTGCGTCGCTGCTTCTTCTTCATCTTCCTTTTTTTTTCTTTCTATTCTCTCTCCCGCCGTATCTCTTGTCGTGTGGCGAGCGAACTGAATCAACTGAGAAAGGGGAGAGCGCTCGTCGCGTCGCACAAGCTTTTTTACCGTATTTTTACCGACCACGCCGCGAAACATTCATTTCGCTTCGCCATTATTCCCCAGTTATCCCCCAGTTATTCCCCTCCCGCATAGATTTATCAGCGGCTACTTTGCGCTTGGCTTTTCGTTGCATGTTAGGCGTCAAAGGAACACCGCAAATGCTCCCTCTGCCCATTTTTATTTCAGTACGAGCGTGTAATGCCGTGGCGTTATTAAATTTCTCAGCGGGATTATAACGCGTTGTACCAGATAGATTTTTATGAAGTCAAAGAATATTGTGATAAAGCTATTCAGGCGAAGATATGAAAGAAACGTATCATATTCTTATTACTTATCGTATAATTTTCGTAGTAATTATATTATGTGGCACGTTTTTTAAGTTTATTGACTTGAAGATCCAATTATCTATCAGGTTACTATTTATCTCAATTATCTCTGTTACTGCATAAATAATTAAGATAAAAAGTAGTCTGATAGATAATTGTATCTTCTTTAAAGAAATACGATAATTATATGAATTGTAGATACATTATCAAGTATTAATGATACGGAGTTTTATTTCGCTTTAATTACTATTTTATCCATTTTGATTATAAAAGATATTTGTGACATGGAACATACGATTTATTATGTATAGTTGATAAATATAATAAAAATTTGAAAGGTAGATTTCATTGTTACAATATTTTATGACATCTACGATATTGAAATTTATAAGGAAAGACGAGACGTAACTTCTCGTTCATCTTCATTTAAAAACTGCGAATTCTGCAACAAATGGGCTGCTTATATTTATGCGATCGTGATTGGTAGCGTTGGGCACATCGCGTTTACATTATAGAGACCTCCCGACGTTTCTTACAAAATGGAAAGCAGTCATACCGAGAGGACGGAATATAGGAAAGCAATCTTCCACGACGAGTATCGCGAGGGTCGACTGAGAGTGGTTAGGTGGGTAACGCATAGATCGGTATCTACGTAGGTATCTTTACGTCAGTGTTTCCCAAACGGTGCTCCCTGGAATGCCAAATAAAATAAAAATGGAAAACTTAATTTATAGCCTCGTATCATGAATTTATTTATTTAATTTGTTCCGATCGTTTCTTGTAGCTTGCATATGAGTGCTCTTTAGTATCGGTTACCCTTTTATGAAAATTGAATTCGATTGAATCTAGCGAAAGGAAAGATATTGTAATCTAAATTCAGATATGCGTTACTACATTATTACACAGAAATGAGATAAAATTTTAAGTCAATAATGTCGAAAACGTACAAGTTTTGCAAGCGTATTATCGAAATTTATAACTTGGCGTTTTGATATCGTTTCTTCACAACATATGTACATTGAAAAAAAAAATTGTTCAACTAACTAAACACGTTTAGTTGTTTACAGATTTGGTTAATTCAACAAATTTCAACAGTTTGTTAGTTGAACAAATTTTTTTTTCAGTATATGTATTGTAATTAAATATGTACAGTAATTCATATGAATTGAACATAAATACACGGAAAGAACGGTTTTGCTAAAGTATTTGAAAATTTAGCTACATACACAGATCTGGAAACAATTCCGTTGGATCGTCAAAATAACGTGGAATATTAAAGATAACGTTGATAACAAAAATACTGTAATATTCTAGCCACCAGTTTGATCTCACATAATTATTTCGATGGTCCAAAGGAAATTATTTTTAGATTTATATCTAGCTAAATTTTTAGATGCTTCAGCAAAACCGTTTCTTCCGTGATACAACATACATATATGGACTGATGAAAGTCTATGCGACGCACGCAGGGGAAAAAAAATATCGCGATCTTTCCTTGAAGTCGACCGCAATTACGAGCTCTATGAGCGTATTCCGAAGAATTCAGTCGCCATGTAACAAATTGGGAAACACTGCTCCACGTGGATGGGATAGATGGAGAAGAGATAGTCGGGCTGCAGATCGCATCCGTCTCGCGTGTCCGCAATTTTTCCGGCAGAATCGTTGCCCGCTCGTTCCATAATGCATGCCGTGCGCCGCGCAATGCCCTGTACGATGCGGCCAGGCCGCGTCGCCGGACGTTCTCATACGCTGCGAAAGAGAGGAGAGAGTCGAGAGAGTCGATAGAGTCGGAGGTGGAGGGTGCAGAAGGGGTAGAGACTGCGGAGACTGCGGAGACTGCGGAGAGTCGGGGCGGGGAAAAGAGGAGAGAAAGAGAGAACGACTGGCATCTCCAATGGGAGCGAGAAGCTTTTTCGTTATGATCGTAATCTTAGAACCAGACCAGCCGCGGGCATCCTGGACCAGCCGGACGACTGCTACTCCGCTCGATTTCTTACTCGTCTCTTATACACCCGTCCCTCCGGTCGATACACGACTTTAATTCCGCCATTTGCGGGGGCGATGTATACGCATCGGAGAACGACGCCCCGCTGCAATCCGATATGCATGCCGCGCCGAGTGAGAGAGAGATCGGCTGACCGAGCGTTTGTCCACTCCGGACTGACGTGTAACGAGCAAAATCACTCTGATTGCGCATGCCATGTGTATTACATGCGCGAAACGCGGATCCCAATCGCAGTTTTGCTGAGAAATTTCCGCGGTTGGATTACCCGCGTCGCGGTGCTCAAATATATGTATTTTCCTTCTGGCGGTAATCACGAACGATCTTCTCGCGCAGCAGCTCAACTATAAAAGTGAAAATAATATGAAGTTTGAACGATTCTGCAATCAGATATTGAAATCGAAAATGTTCTTTCGGCTGGATATGACGTTATTCAACTATAATCGATTGTTTTGCATGGTAAATCTCGTAGCGTGCATCCAGTGCTGACTGCTGAATAAATGATAGTGCTCGTAATGCGTGTATATATATATATATATATATATACATATATATATATATATATATATATCGCAGTGCTATTCGTGAAATTCGTACGCATAACTGGAATAACGGATGAAAGAGGACAAGAGGAGGAAGAGGGGGGAAGGGGAGGGGGGGAGG